ATGAAGAAAGGGAGAGAACATCCCAGGTGCGCTAGGGTGTTGGTTTTTTCATGATGCTTAGAACACTCAAATCTATAGAACTAATCAGTGTAAAACTCATTTCTGTGATTGGGTGTCCTTAGTTCAGAGTTGCTTTGGTGTTTGCAGAGTTTGTATGGCCATGAAAGCTGGGATTCTGGACTCTAGCACTTCGTGTGCTCTTGGAAGGCAAGAAATAATGTGGTTTTAAAAGAAAAATTAAGACCTATTTCTCGTGTTTTCCTCCTTGGATTGATTACCTGCAGGAGATGGACATGTTAAGGAAGCAGGTGGAGTATCTTGCTGAGGAAAATGGAAAGTTGGTAGGTCACCAAAACTTGCATCAGAAGATTCAGTATGTAGTGCGGCTAAAGAAGGAAAATGTCAGGCTTGCTGAGGTAACTCTAAAAATTGTTCTGAATAAATCCTGTCTGGTTTAAAAATGATTCTTTTATTAAAACTTAATTATTGAATCAGTTAACTGCTTACTTCAGGGAGCTTCCTGAATGCAAAAAAATGTTGGTCATTGCTATTCTGTGCATACTTCAATCAGTTACATTTTCATAGACAGCAGATTCTTGTTTAATATTTAGTTTGCACATTGAAAATTCCAGTCTTAATTTGAAATATCCACTTAATGAATGCCAAAATAAAAACACTTCCTGTAGGACTTAGAGCCTAATTTTTTTTCTCTTTTGTTTTTTAAATTACTTAGGAGACAGAAAAGTTGCGTGCTGAAAATGTATTTTTAAAAGAAAAGAAAAGAAATGAATCATGAGGATTCTGGTCAACTATCTAGGCATCACCTTGTTTGGAGATGTTTCTTCTCTTTTACAAGTAAGACCTACTCTTGGCCACTTTGGAGAGCTGAATTTACGGACCTTAATTATTAAATGTGTATAAGGTGGTGCTGGCTGACCCTCAAGTTTCTAATGAACATTCTGCATCTATATACACCCTGTGACAGTTAACAGTCTGCTGTTAAGTGGCCCACTTCGAGGCTTTGAATCAACTGTAAGGGAAAACCTTTTGTCTTTGTAAAAATAAAAGCCTGTAGCTACGGTTTACAGTGGATGTTAGCCACATCATTTTCTTCTTAGATTATGCCATAGTCTCCTTTGATTCTTATGGAAGATCTAGCAATATATGGTGGTTCCAAAACCTGCAGTTAGTTTAATAACCGACTTAGTAGCAGGTCTAAGAAGCAAACTTGTTAATACAGATTATTTTTGTATTTTTACTTTTGGTATTTCCTTGAGCATTTTCCATGACTGTAAATAAAGCCATTTTTTTCATAATAAAGCCTTTTTAAAATAATAATTAAAGTGATTTACATTGTCATTCTGTTGTTCATTGAGCACATACTTAGTGAATACCTACAGTATGCCAGGCACTAATCATCAGTGAACAAAGCAAATAAAAACTCTTGCCCTCAAGGAACTTCTATGTAGTGGACCTTCTTTCTTTTTTATTGAGACAAATATTCCATTATATGGATATATTAAACTATCCACTCATTTGAATTATTTCCAGTTTAGGACTGTCATAAATAATGGAGCTATAAATATTCATGTATAAGTCATGGTGTGGACACACGTTTCACATCTCTTGAGCACATGCCTAGGAGTAGAATTACTGGGTTATTTGAAAAGCATGTATTTAACTTTTTAAGACATTGCCTGTTTTCCAAATTTATCATTTAGATGTACCATTTTACATTCCAACCAACAGTGTATTCCAGTTTCTCCACTTTTCACCAACACTTGTTATTGTCAGCTTTTTCACTGCAGCCATCCTAGCGGATGTGTAGTTATGTCACTTGCATTTTCCTAATTACTAATGCTATTGAACATTTTTCCATATTATGGAATATTACTTGGCAATAAAGAGGGAACATGCTACAACATGATGAATCTGAAAAAACATGCTAAGTAAAAGAAACCAAACCCAAAAGACCACATATTATATGTTTTCATTTATATGGAAAGTACAGAAAAGGCAAAATTATAGAGATAGAAAGTAAATCATTGTCTGCTTGGAGCTAGGGTGGGAGTGGTAATGACTGGGCACAAGGGAACTTTTTGAGGTGATAGAAATGTTTTAAAATTTGTGATAATGGCTAGACAACTCTATATTTGCTAAAAAATGAATTATAGGGTGAGATGTGGTGGCTCACACCTGTAATCCCAGCACTTTGGGAGGCCAAGGCAGGTGGATCACTTGAGGCCAGGAGTTCAAGACCAGCCTGGCCAACATGGCAAAACCCCATACTAAAAATACAAAAATTAGCTGGGTATGGTGGCACGTGCCTGTAATCACAGCTACTCGGGAGGCTGAGGCAGAAGAATTGCCTGAACCCAGGAGGCAGAGATTGCACTAAGCCAAGATTGCACCACTGAACTTCAGCCTTGGTAACAGAGTGAGACTCTGTCTCAAAAAATATATATATTCATTCAAAATGGGTGAATTTTAATAAAACTGTAGGAAAATATTTTAATGTATAGTTGAACTCTCAAGGAATAATAAATAGTAAATCCCTAAGGGCCAGAAATGAAACAGGAACTGTAATGTAGTATTAAATATAAGGTAGCGAACAGACACTGCAACTACCTCGGAGGTAGAAGAAAGGTGGAATATTGAAGCTGATAATGAAGAGGCTTGGGACTTATTACCTGTATTAGCTGTAGGGCTGTTATAACAAATGACTACAAAGTGGGTGGCCTAAAACAACAGAAATCTATTTTCTCACAGTTCTAGAAGCCAGTAGTCCAAAATCAAGGTGCAAACAGGGGCACAGTTTCTCTCAACCTATCTTTTTAAGGGACACAATTCAACCCAGAACATCACTCCTTTCAAGGAAAGGAAACAAAGCTCTGGGCCACTTCTCGACAGGGAATTAGAATTAAGATTTTGCAAAAAGCCAGAACCCAAGGAGTGCAGGGATCTTGTCTTAGGCATTCAGGTGACTTTGCTGCCTGGAATAGGGACTGGCTCAAAGCATGTGCTTATTTGCTTAACCAAGAAGAACAAAGAAGAGGCAGAGAAACGGACACAGTAAAAAGTCAGGAGGAAAAGACTGAGGTAAGGCTGGAGAGAGAAAGCAATAGAAAGCATTCACTCCCTAGGACCCCACCTGTTCCTAATGTCTCACACCAGGGGCTGGCTTCATACTTTTAAATTCCTTCCCATTCCCCTAAGGTCTCTTGTGACTTCTGTTCTTTAAAGGTGATGGGGCATTTGAAACAGTCTCCAAGAACTCAGTGGATCATCTTTGCTCATAAGCCATCTCTGAGGTTTGTTTCAACTGATTTTTAAAATAAATGTGGGTGGAATTCCTTCCCCTCCACACTGACTCAGTTCAAGAAGCTCTAGCTTGCATTGCTGTTAGTTAAGTTCGGTGTGGGTGGGTAGGTGGGTTGGTTGTTTTTTTAAAAAAATCAAACCATAGTCTATTCAATCAAACATCTGTAACAAGGCCACATTATTGGGCACTGTGGTAGGAACCAAGATAGAAAATATGGTTTCTGCCCTTGACAGAACCCTGTTAGGGAGACAAGAATGTTGCAATGCACTTAGGTGCACCAAGCACAGCAGTAATTTAGAGCCTTGGTACCCAGTGTGGTCCTTTGACCAACAGCATTGGGAGCTTGCTCAAGATACAGAATCGGGCCAGGTATGGTAGCTCATGCCTATAATCCCAATATCTTGGAATATCAAGGTAGGAGGATTGCTTAACACCAGGAGTTTGAGACCAGCCTGGGCAATGCAACGAGATCCTGTCTCTACAAAAGTTAAAATTAAAAAAAAAAAAAAAAAAAGCTGGGGGCTGGGGGCTGGGTGCAGTAGCTCTCGCCTGTAATCCCAGCATTTTGGGAAGCCAAGGTAGGTGGATCACTTGATCTCAGAGGTTAGAGACCAGCCTGGGCAACATGTCAAAATACTGTCGATACAAAAAAATACAAAAATTAGCCAGGTATAGTGGCATGTGCCCATAGTCCCAGCTACTCAGGAGGCCGAAGTGGGAGAATCGCTTGAGCCCAGCAGGTTGAAGCTGCAGTGAGCTATGATCACACCACTGTACTCCAGCCTGGGAGACAGAGCAAGACTTTATCTCAAAAAAGAAAGAAAAAACAATTAACTGGGCTTGATGGTTCATGCCTGTAGTTCTGGCTACTCACGAGGCTGAGCTGAGAGAATGCTGAGCCTGGGAGTTCAAGGCTGCAGTGAGCCATGATTACACCATTGCGCTCCAGACTGGGCGACAGAGAGACCCTGTCTCCCCACAAAACAAACAAAATTCAGTCTAGCTCTAGACCTAATCAGAATTCCCTTCATCTTAGTAAGATCCCTAGGTGATGTGTATACACAGAGCAGTTTCTAAGAGGCAGAAATCACTTCCCAGCAGAGTGTCTGAGGATGGCATCACTTCAGCCATCATCACCAGAGCTGGGAATCTGGAGATTAGCAACGATGTAGTCCCTGCCCTCAAGGAGCTTGCAGGCTAGCAGAGAGACAGACAACCAGAGGAACAACCACAGGACTGGAACCAAGGTAGGGGAGTAGCAGAGACCACTTTACAGGGGAAGTGGCTCTGAGATGCTTACTTAACCTTTAGTGCTAGTAGAGGCATCGTTTGTTCTAAGGAAACTTGCTTTACATTCTTTAAAGCATGCAGAGTTGATCAATGCAATATCTCTTGATTTCCTGATAAGAGTTTTTCGAGGTGATCATCTTTGAGCAGCTCTTGGCTCAATGGAGCGGTGCAGTGAGACCTCAGCTTGTTTCCTCATCTGCAAAATGGGACCATTCGTACCATTTCGGCGTTACTGAAATTATCCGTGCTTTTATTTGAACTACAAAACCACCCTATGAGAGAAGAGCATGGTGTGGAAGGACTTCCATGAAAACATGCTGAACGGAAGATAGCAAAAGAATGCTGTTGAACAGTATGTTCAACTGTAAAATAATTTTTGTTTTTTAAAAAAGCCATATCCATATTCTATAATTTTTAAAACATTTTAACTCTATATAACCAAATAGACTTATAGAAAAATGCTCTATTGCCAGTGATTTTCCTGGAGAGTGGAAATAGTACTTTATACATTTCAACAACAGTTTATTTTCAAGGAAATGTACTTTTTACATGGAAACATTTTAAACTTATGTAAGTGCAACAGGAGATTAGAAGTCACGTTGGCCCTGCGTGGCACGATTATGGATGATTATCTTCCTCTCATCGCGGATCCGTAGTTTCTTGGTTTTCTGTGATGCGCGTGTCCCCATCTGGGGCTCTCCCATCTTTCTGGGTCTGGAGGTCCCCAGCGCCCCCTGCCGAGGCATCCCTCGGACCGGCGGTCCTCAGGCTGGAGGGTGGAGAGGAGGCAGCCTGGTCGTCCACGTGGATAGACTCGGTGGGCCAGGGTGGGGCCGGTTTCGCATCTTTAACAAGTTTCACCCGGAGCCGGGGGCCAGGAGGCCCGGGGCCCGGGGGTCCGGGCGGCCGGGGGGCCGGGATGGAGACCGCTAAGCAGTGAGTTTACCTTCTACCACAGAGTCCACAGTACCCGGCCTGGCCTCAGGCCTCGGGTCCCAACGTGCCCCCCCCACCCCCCTCCGAGCACAAACCTACTACAGGTTAGGCAGGAGGCCGCCACCGCCCAAGGGCCCTGCCACGCCCCCTGGCCTGTCCCCTCCGAGGCGCCAGGGGGCGATTCCCAAGGGGCCTGCGGGAGCCGCGTCACGGGAGCGCCGCGTCACGTGAGGCTGCCGTCCAATTGCGGCGCGCGCTTGGCCTAGCGGGCGGCGGGCGCCAGGCACGGTTGCAGCAGGCACCATGGGCGAGAGGCCGCGGCCCCCGGGCGGCGCGGTGTCCTCGGCCGCCTACCCCGACACCCCCGCGGAATTCCCTCCGCACCTCCAGGCGGGCGCGATGCGGCGCCGCTTCTGGGGCGTATTCAACTGCCTCTGCGCCGGCGCGTTCGGGGCCCTGGCCGCCGCCTCCGCCAAGCTGGCCTTCGGCAGCGAGGTCGAGCCCGGGGCGCTGCTGCTGCTGCGGGCGGGCGGGCAGTGCGGGGCTGGGCGGAGGAGGGGCGCTGCGAGGCCCGCGGGGCTCCCAGGTTGGGAAGGGGTGGGCGCTGGGCGCCGCAGCACACTCGCCAGTCTGTCCGGTCGGGGCTGACCCTGCGGCCTGCTAGGGTGGGAGAGCGTGTCTAATCACGCCAAACCCTCGTCCAGTGTAGGCGGTAAGAGACGTCGGGGACTGAGGCCTTTTCCCTTACCAGGCACCTAAAACCTTTTCTCCGATTGGGCTAGTTCGCTCTGGGGGAAGACCTACACCTCCTACATTCACCCTCTACCTCTCATTTTAAGTCCCTTGTGCCTGAGCATTTCTCTCCACGTGACTCTTAAGGTGAGAAGCATGTTGCCCATCCCTTTACTTCGTAATTAACGGGTGTTGTGACCTGATAACCAGTCTGCCCCACTACCAGGGAAATTGGGAGTCGGGGCTACTGTAGGCATAAGGGGATACCGACAGACGGTCTGGATGTTTTTCTGAAACTGAGAACTCCTAAACTTGCCTGCTGGCATCTGCTAAGGTGTATCTCTGCCCCAGCCGTCCCGTATTATAGACCAGCCTCTGCTTGCTAGAGGAGTTTAATTGCATCTGCAGCCCAGGGTTAGCCTCTGCCCTGGACAGTGGTCACTGATTATTTAGGGTTAAGCCTATTTAGGACTAATCCAGTGGGAGCTGCCATGCTTGAGGTTAGTATCCCATTGGGTGTAGTTCATGGGGTAAATGGTCAAAAGTAAAATGAATAACTCTTTGTATGGGCCGTGAAGTTTGTTGTAATGAACCAGGCCTTCATAACCCTTTATGTAAGCAGGTTGCCACTGCGCCATATAGTGCTTTGTATAAAACAAGCTTGTCCATCCCGCGGCCCGACACAAATTTGTAAGCTTTCTTAAAACATGAGATTTTTGCGATTTTTTTTTTTAGCTCATCAGCTTTCATTAGTTTACTGTATCTTATGTGTGACCCAAGACAGCTCTTCCAGTGTGGCCCAGGGAAGCCAAAAGATTGGACACCCCTGGTGTAAGTTATAAGAAAGCACCTTTTCTCAAGACACTGTGTTCAGCTGCTGAGAAACCATTACAAATAATAAGTATGATATTTAGGTTCCCCCTACACCCCCCCCACCTTGTTTCCAGGTGGGTTTCTAACACCACCAAAGGAGGGGGGTTGCATATCCTTTGTGTAGGAGGCTTCTAAAGACCCTCTCTTCTCTTGAGACTTTCTCCTTTAAAAAAAGGAAAGAAAAAATCTATAAGTTCTCCAAGGGATGTCTGGGATTACTAAATAGTCCGAGGTGGTGTTTCCCCCAGTGTCCTCCTTACGAGCATGCAGCTACACTGCCTGGTTTTGAAGCCTGGTGACTCTCACCACTGTAGCACTTTAGGAAAGTTACTTCATGCCCCTGGCTCTTTAAAGTGAAGTTCAAGAGTAAATGAGAATGCTTAAACACTTAGCACAGGGCCTCAGGAATGCCCAGAGGGTCAGCCTTAGTGGGCTGCAACTTGTATAGGATTGCTGGGGTGGGAATAGGGAGCAGATATCATTAAGTCATGCTTTCCCTGATCTCAAGAAGTAAGAACTCTACCCTTGACTTAAACTACTTACTAAGTAAGAGCTACTTGGCCCCTGCGACTGATCTTCAAGAACTGGTCATTGTGGGACCAATAAGGGGCTGGTGTTCAGTAGAAAATACTGGCTTTGGATTGGCATTTTACTTCTTCCTAGATCACGTGGTCAGCAAGGTGGCCAAATGAGTGTCTTCTCTGAGTTTGTATGATTTGTAAGATGGATCTGCTGTCCACTGAGGGTTAAGTGAAGCCCTGTGTAGGAAAGCTGTGAGGCTCTCTGAACTGTAATGGAATCTCAGTAGAAGCCTGGCTGCCAGCAACCACAGCCCTGGGTGTGCTGTGAGGGGGTCTGCATGTTACTGCCCAGGCCAGGGTGGGCGTGGCTGCAGTGACACTTTCTCCTGCAGGTGAGCATGGGTTTATGCATCTTAGGCATTATCGTGATGGCGAGCACCAATTCTCTGATGTGGACCTTCTTTAGCCGGGGCCTCAGTTTCTCCATGTCTTCAGCCATTGCATCGGTCACAGTGACTTTTTCAAATATCCTCAGCTCGGTGAGTAGCCTGAGGGTGTGATGTTCTTGTCCTGAATCTGGGTTCTGGGTGAATTGTCCTTGGGGAACCCCTCCTTTCCCAGACAGAAGAAAGGACAGAAACTGAAGCAGAGGTTGCGCTCTGGCTTGACCCCTGGATGCATGCTCTATTGATGGAGCAAATCTAATTCTAATCATAGAGAATTCTCAAGTTAGATAGGAGTGAAGCCTGGCAGTAAAAACCCTACTTGCTTGCTGTGCCTTCAGGGTGGAGCTCTCATCCTGAAGTCACTGTGCAGCCTAGCTGCCTCCTAGGGTTCTGTGCACTCAAGCCCCCATGAGATTTAGAGGGCTGGGATTCCTGGAGACCTTTCTTCCCTCTGTAGTCTGAGGTTGACAAGATGGAGCTGAGCCTAGTCAGTATTGAGTTGAGAGAGAACGAAACACCAGGTACCAGCTGTGTCTCCTACCTCCTGGCCTCTGCTGGGTCTTTCTTGTATACTTTGCCGAGGTCCAGTGCAGTGAGTGAGGTGGCCTCTCCATTCCTACAGGTGAGACTGAATAGAGTGACTTGATGAAGGCGACAGCTGGGTTTCAAGCCAAGGCTTCTGGGTCCAGACCTTTCCTCCTGGCCCTTTTAGAAGGAAGTCAGTCCAAGGAGAGTGATGTTGTGCCCACCTGCTGAAGTCGAGTCCCTCACAGCTGTCTTTGTCCCACAGGCCTTTCTGGGCTATGTGCTGTATGGAGAGTGCCAGGAGGTCTTGTGGTGGGGAGGAGTGTTCCTCATCCTCTGCGGACTCACCCTGATCCACAGGAAGCTCCCGCTCACCTGGAAGCCCCTTCCACACAAGCAGCAATAGCACCACTTGGCTGGATGAACCAGCTGGAAAGATCACGATGGTGGCCCAGCCTTGGGTTGGCATGTGGGACTGTGTCCGAGGGCATCTCAGGTGTGCAGCCTGACCATCAGCCAAGGGAAGATGCCAGGCCTTTCAAGAGAAGCAGGCGTCTGACGGAGTAGGCTTAAAGGTGGACAGCTCTGGCTCTGTAAGGAGAGCTGCAGCCACAACAGTATTCTGCCAGAGAAGCTTTTTGATCATCTGTACAGTGCTTTGGATTCTTGCTCCCAGGCCCACCCCAGTGAGCCTTGGCAGATGCTGGAGATCCTGCGGTTGGTCTGCTTTGTGTATAGTACTTAAAACCGGCTGCAGTTACTGTCCTGTTGCCTAACAAAAGCCAGTCATGTAAGTCAAGAAGCAGTGACTGGAGGGGCTTTCTAGCAACTCCATGCTGATGTATCAGGCCGTCTATGTCATGCTTATATATTATGGCAAGAAGAGGAAAACTGGGTTAATAAATACTGTTTTGTAAGTTAAAACTACTAGGTACGGTATCTTAATTCTTTCCTACCCTTTGGAGGAAGAGGGAGCCAGAGTAAGCTGAAATCCGTGGTGTGGAGGAGGCAGGAGAGTGAGGCAGGTACAGAGGCCTCATGACCTCAGTTGCTCTGATACCTGCTGGAGCTTGATCTTGTGGTTACTTCCTGAGGCCACACAGGCTAAGGCTCTTTGAACTGCACAGGGTCTGTTCATTCTTCTGGTGCTCTCAAGGAGAAAAGTTTGACCTCCCTTTGGAGACCTTGTTTTACTTACTAGGGAAAGAAAGTGGCTCAGAAATCCCTCCCTTCCCCATCACCCTCCTCCTCCAGCTTTTACCTTTAGGGCTCTTCTGTCCTTTTCTTTTCTTTCTCAGATCCCCTTGGTTCTTTTTGTGTCTTACACCATGTGAGGGTAATTCCTAGTTCAAAGTGGGCTCTGTGCCGCCTGCACACTTTCCCAGCACAGAGCTTCAAGCCCAGCACTCGCCTGCCTCACTTCTCCCCTGGGGTTTGCGAGGGCCCTCTCAGCTCTCCTGAGCTTGGTCTCTGGCCCCAGGTTTTCTTCGTACATTTCCTGCAGTTGAGAGGGACCTCGTGGCTAGGAGGCTAGGAGAGAGAAGGGTCTTGTCCAGGCCCTCCTCCTCTCCCACGTAGCATCTTCATTGCCCTCCTCTGTTACTGTTGTCAGCACAGTTGACAGAATGAGCTTACTAAAACCATTCCACGGCTCCTTCTGGTGGGGATCTGGCCCTCGCCCACCACTCCAAGAGTTCTATTCCTCGACAGCTCCTAAGTCCCCATCTCCCTCTTGCTCTCCCTACCATGCTGAGTCCCCCTAGATGTGCGCATGTCAGCCATTCTCAAATCCACCATGTCCAGTCCTGCCTGCATGTTTTGCACTTGCTCTTTTCTGGGGTTCCCTTCACCTTCACCTCTCAGTGGCAAACTCCTGCTCTTCAAAACCCTTGAGCTCCCGTGGGAGCCAGAGCAAAGCTGTGATTCACAGAATGTTAATCATTTAGCTCCACTTTGACACATTGCCTCCCAGCCATCCCACGAGGAGCTGCTGCTCTTTTTCCTGTATTAAAGGTGATGAAACTAAGGCTTGGGGAAGTTGAATAATTTGCCTGACATCACATAGCTGAGGAGTACCAAAACCGCAATGTCAGCCCAATCTGACAGGGCTCAGCTCAGTCCCTACGTCTGTCCTGCTTCTCACAACAATACCTTAAAGCCCAGAGAGGCCTTGCTTTAAGGGGCCTGTTTCGTATTGTGACTCAGCATGCCCAAATCTCAGAACCCTTTGGTCACCAGCCACCTACCTTTTCTGAGTGGCCCTAGTGTTCATCTCCCTGATGTAGTCTGACCCCACCATTCTACTAGTGAAGAAGCTGAAGGACATTCAAAGCTCTCCAGGGTGTGTTCACGATGTGGGTCAGACACTGAGCCAAGGCCAGACCTGAAGGCTGTTGACAGCCAGTGGTCGACCTACCTGGCCAGTTAGTGAAAAGGGCAGAAAGAAGTCCATCTTGGAGCAGGCATTGTCTTAAGGGGACTTGGCTTCCCATTCAGATTCTTGCTGAATGCATAGAGGTGGTTGGTGTTGACTTGGAACCCTGTTACTCAGTTCAGCAAATATGCCTGTATTTGTATAAGATGTACAAGATGTGTTTGTAGAAGGTGTACATTTGTACAAGATGTAAGATGTTTTTTTAAAAGGAAGATTAGTAATTCTTCAGAAAGCAGAACGATACCCCTCTATCGTCATCTGTGAAGCTGAGGAAATGTTTACTGTATCTCTTTTCCTCATTTCAGAGGTTTATTCTCTTGATAAGCATAAAGTATATCAATACTATATCAATGTTTGTCTTTTTGGTGTGCATCTTGGATGATGGATTCAACTTTATTTTGTTTGCTTGGAGCTGGCAGTTTGACATCCAGGTTCAACAGCCAATGGCCTGATAAGTCATTCCTTTTTTTTTTTTTCAACTTAATTTTAAAAGTGTGCAATTCAGTAGTATTTTAGTAGATTCACAAGGTTTTCAACCATTACCACTAGCTAATTCCGGAACACTTTTCTCACTCCAAAAGAAATCCTCATACTCATTAGCAGTCATTTTCTGTTTCACCCTCACCCTGGCCCAAGGCAATCAAGGATCCACTTTCTGCCTATAGATTTGCCTGTTCTGGACATTTTATATAAATGGATTATGCAACATCAATATATAGCCTTTTGGGTCTTTTTTTCACTTACACAATGTTTTCAAGGCTCCTCCCTATTGTGGCATGAATCAATTACTCATTCCTTTTTATGACTGAATAATACTCCATTGTGTGGATCTACCACATTTTGTTTATCCGTTCATCGTTTGCTAGACCTTTGGATTGTTTCCCTTTTCTGGCTATTATGAATAATGCTGCTTTGAACAATTGTGTACATGTTTTTGTGTGGACATGTGTTTTCAATTTTATTGGGTATAAACCTAGGAATGGAATTGCTGATGTAACTATGATATGATATAACTATATTTAATTTTTTGAGGAACTACCAGACTGTTTCCAAAGCAGTTGCACCGTTTTACATTCTAACCATCAGAGTATGAGTGTCCCAGTTCCTCCACATCCTTGCCAACACTGCTATTGTCCATCTTTTTTATACTTGCCAGTATCTCGTGGTTTTGATTTGCATTTCCATAATGACTAGTAGTGTCAAGCATCTTTTCTGTGCTTGTTGGTCATTTGTATATTCTTAAATATAATTTCTTAGGAAAAATTCTATTTAAAGCATTTACCCATTTTAAAACTAGATTGTATTTTCGTTAATGAGTTATAAAGTTTCCTTCCGTATTCTGCATACAAGTCCCTTTTTGGGTACATGATATGCAAATACTTTCTCGCATTCTGTGGGGTGTTTTTTTTTGTTTGTTTGTTTGTTTTTTAAAGACAGAGTTTTGCTCTTGTTGCCTGGGCTGGAGTGCAATGGCACCATCTGGGCTCATTGCAACCTCTGCCTCCTGGGTTTAAGTGATTCTCTTGCCTTAGCCTCCCCAGTAGTTGGGATTACAAGCATATGCCACCACGCCTTGCTAATTTTGTATTTTTAGTAGAGATGGGGTTTATCCATGTTGATCAGGCTGATCTCCATCTCCCAACCTCAGGTGATTTGCCCACCTCGGCCTCCCAAAGTGCTGTGATTACAGGTGTAAGCCACCGTGCCCGGCCTGTGGGTTTTTTACTTTCTCAATGATGTCTTTTGAAGCACAAAAGTTTTTTTATTTTGATGAAATTCAATGTGTCTATTTTTACTTTTTATTTGTTTTTTCATTTGATGTCATATCAAAGAATCCATTGCCAGATCAGCATGTGACAGGAGCCAGATAATGCAGGGCCTGTTGCAGACCATTGAAAGGACTTTGACTTTTACTCTGAGAGTGCAGAAGAGAGCTGATCTGAATGATGTTCTAAAGGGACCACTCTTGTACTGATAACACACTGTGGAAGGCTAGAGCAGAAGCAGGAAGACCTTTTCAGGGGCCACTTCAGCCATCCAAATGAGAGGAGAGGGAGGTTTTGGTAGCAGTAAAGGTGACAAGAAGTAATGGACTAAATAATGCATTTTGAAAGCAGAACCAACAGGATTTGCCAACAGCTAGGATGTGGGTGCGAGAGAAAGAGAGGTCAATAATGAATCCGTAGTTTTGGCCCAAGCAACTTGAAGAATGAAGATGTCAGTAATGAAATGAAGAAGACTGGAAGAGGAATCTGATTGAGTAGGAATATTAAGAGCTCAGTTTTGAACCAGTTAATTATGATGCTTGTAATATATCCATGTGAAAGTGTTGGGTAGGCAGTAACCAGTAGGATATAGGGTTCAGGAGCTCAAGGAGATGTCTGGGAGTCACCAGCATAGAGATGGCATTTGAAGCCATGAGACTAGATGACATCTTCTAGAGAGAAGAGGTCCAAGGACTGAAACTGGGAACTCCAAAGTTTAGAAGTCTGGAACATGTGAAAGAACCAGCAAGGTAAGTAAGAGGAAATTGCCAGTGAAGTCATTTGCAAGTGTGGTGTCCTGGAATCATCTCCAGAGAAAGGCAATGATCACCCGGGCTAATGCTGCTGAAGAGTCAAGTAAATTGAAGATTGAGAAATGGCCTTTGGATTAGCAAAGAGGTAACATTGGTAAGAGCAGCTTTGAGGAGTGACAGGGCAAGAGGCTTATTGAATTAGATTCAAGAAGGAATAGTGATCATTTCGATGCAGAAAGCAATGGAGAAAATGTAACTTCCTTTCATGAGAAAAATGATCAATAGGAATAGAAGGAAATTTCCTTAACATGCTAAAGGCCATATATGAAAAACCCACAGCTAACAGTACAGTCAATGGTAAAAGACTGAAAGCTTTCCGCCCAAGATCAGGAACAAGACAAGAATGCCTGATTTCACCGCTTCTGTTAAAGATGATACTGGAAGTCTTAGCCAGAGCAATTAGGCAAGAAAAAGAAAGGGCATTTAAATTGGAAAGGAAAAAGTAAAATTTTAACTGTTCACAAATTATATGATCTTTTATGTATGTAGAAAACCCTAAAGATTCCAAAAAACTGTTAGGAGTTAATAAATACAGCAAAGTTCCAGGATACAAAATAAACACAAAAATAAATTGTATTTCTATACACTAACAATAATCTGGAAAGGAAATTAAGAAAACAATTCCATTTACATCAGAAAGAACAAAATACTTAGGAATGATTTTAACCAAGGAGGTGAAAGACTTTTTCACTGAAAACAACAAACCATTGTTTTAAGAAATTAAGGAAGTCATAGACATTCTCTGTTTATGGATTGGAAGACCTAATATCGTTAAGATGACGGTACAACCCAAACCAATCTACAGATTCAATTCAATCTCTATCAAAACACAATGATTTTTTTTTTGTAGAAATAGACCCTTTCTAAAATTCTTATGGAATCTCAAGGGACCCCAGATAGCCAAAACAACCTTGA